AAAAAAAAAAAAAAAAATTCACTTTTAAAACAATGATATACTCAGTGCGGAATATTTGCTAGAGTATCGAAATAAGATTATCATTAAACTGCAACTTAAAAGGTTTTTTTATGCACATAAACCAAATTATAAACCTAAAAACATAAACCCTTTTATTCAAGATACATCTTGATATATACATTTAAGCCTTACAAATAAAAAAAATGCAATCACGCGTAAACCTATGCAAATTGTGGCTGTAGTAGAATTTGCTTACTGTAGTAGAATCACGTACGCTTTAAAACGGATACTTTTATTATGTGAAAGTGGCAGCATTCTTAATGTCCATTTATCTTGTCAATCCATGCAGTCGAGAAAACGACTGACAATTTGACTCCAATATCCCTAGGTGCCAGGGTCAGAGTCTTTTGAAAGATCCGGATACGCTCTTGCACTCTCCATTCAGCTTCGGATCAAAGTGGCGATACTTCAGCAGGGTTACTCTTTAAGCTTTAATCAAAATCTGTACCTATTCGAACAGAACCTTTGAGAAGGATGAATTAATATTATCGAAAAATTGAACATTTATATTAATGAACACGAACAGAATCTAGGGAACAAACAGAAAACTATAGTGGTGCTAAAACAGCATATGTACTTTCTTACTAGTATTTTCACACAAAATTACGCGAAGAGTACGCACAATTTCGAAAACCTGTACATGACTTTATTTCAAAAACAATTTTTAAGTAACAGATTCCATGGAAGGAAAAATCATCTTTAATATTCTAGTTATAGGAAGACTTCGAAATTTGTTGAACTTTTGCAATTTTCGATAAGTTACTCCCAGGAAAATGAGATCTGCACCATTCCCTTGAACGTCCTTCACACTATCCAAAGACAAAATTTACTTAAAAACGACGGAGTAATTTTTTTGAAAATTTGGAAAATGTCTCAGAAGCTTCATGTAAAATACCCCCCAAAGTTAAAATATCGGTTTTAAAATTCAAGAGGCTGCGACCACAGACAGATCGATTGGGGAATATCTATTTCGGAGAAAATCAGCTGAACAGTATAGTCGCTAGCGATGTTCACAGACGGACGGACGAACGAACTGACAATAGATTTTTCGATATCAAGAACCCAAATGGATTCTGGCTTCATCAGTGTTAAAGGATTTTGTTTTCTAAATTTAGCAACTAGATTTATCCACTTTTTTTGTTACCATGGCCCTGTAATACGAGTTTTTCTGCCGAAAATTCGCTGTTTAAGTAAAAGATCTCCCCGAATTCTTCTGAAGAGATTGGGATTCCCACTACCTACAAGAGGGAAGTAAATAGCATCATTCCCCTTCACGTCGCGTCACGTTGCGTCGGATGACTTTTTGCTGTTTGCTACACGATATACGCATTATATAACATAGTATAAGACTTGTGATACCATATTTATTAATACTGGAACATTTAATCATTGCAAAGTGGACTCCAAACTTTTGGTGCACATTTGAAAAGAAACCCACTCTCTCGATTAAAAATTGCGAAACATTATTAGCATTTTTGCAGAATCGCGTTTCTAATTCACGGAACTTTTACACACTAGTTCCAGGCAAGGAGGCGATTGCATGAAGTGGAACGGTTTGCGTCGGGCAATAGTGGAAGAAATGTGCCAGCTACGGCCTCAGTAGGTGGGGCCGCCGCAGTGGCCTTGACAATGACTCAGCGCGACTCGGTGCCATGGTGACGCCGCGGCCACGAAACCAGGGCATGCTAGACAAAAATATCGGATGATCAAGAGAAGCAATAAATGAACAAAAACGCAAATAAGCGACGAAACGTACGAAAATACAGTGGCATTTATATGATGTATAGTATTATTTATTATACATAAACACAGTACGTAATACACGTTATATTGAAGTACTGCAACGATGTCCGGCGGTCGGCGTCGAGTAAAGTCTAGAATTCGACGTGAAAAAGGGGGAATGCGGGCTGGAATTGGGGCTCCAATGTACTTAAATGACGACGGGTAAAATTCCTGAGCTAAGGGTTCATTCAATTTAATTCACTGAAAAGCTTCATTTGAATACCTAAAATAAATTCAATGAAACAAGATTGTACGGTTAACTGAAAACTTTAAGTAGATTCTCTACAGCCCGTCACTGCGCAGACAATATGTTTTAAAAAATTATTGAAATCAAATGATACTAAAAATGAATTTAATTAATTATTTTATTATTATTATTATTATTATTATTATTATTATTATTATTATTATTATTATTATTATTATTATTGGCGTATAGGCCATTACTGACCACGCTACACGATTAACGTGTGTAATTCTTCGAGGATCAGCTTTTCAGCTGTATCCTTGGATTACAACAAGGTTGTTACGCCTTGAAGTGTGATTATTATTAATGGATTAGGAGGTGATAGGATATTGGTGAAAGGTGATCGTGGACTATTTGAACCATCCCAGCATTCGCCTTATGACCGAGGGAAACCCCGAAAACCCCAGTCAGGATGGCCGGCCCGGGAATTGAACCCAGACCTCCCGATTACGAAGTCAGCGCGCGTAGTCTGAGCCATTTCGCTCGGTAATAATAATCTATAATTATTATATATAATAATAATCTATAATTATTATATATAATAATAATCTATAATTATTATATATAATAATAATCTATAATTATTATTATTATTAAATTTATTTCCAGCTAATGAGCTTTCGCTCGATGGCAGTGCTTATACATAGAAAGACTAAGACAAACACAACATATAAAGACATACATAGACAAGTTAAGAAACATATTATATATTCTAAGTAACTAGGAAGACATACAAGACACATAAATGTTGCCATTACACGCAATTCCCTAGACGGTTTCGTAAGCAACGCACAATAGAGTAAAAAGTCGCTAGTACCGCAGAGCTGGTAGATTGTTCCTGTCAGTCATTGTCCGATTGATAAAATAGTATTTAGCAACATCGGTTTTTTGATTTCAGTATTTAGTTTCGAAGAGATGATCGCGTATGCAAAATTAATGAGGATGCCCTATCCTAGTTTGAATGTAGTTTAACGCCTAGCACGCTTCCTAGCGCAACTCCTTACGTCACACGAATTTCATCAGAAAGATAATCGTCTGAGAGCGACCGCGAAGGAAAGATTCGATCCAACTAATTAATATTGCATCAATTTCTGAACATCGAAGTTTATTAAGCAATTGCTCGCAAAGCACTACGTCGAATGCTTTTGTGAAATCTAAGACTACCTGCGTCTGAGGACTCGGAAAGGTCTTTGCAAACTGTTTGGATTTCGCAAGAGTAGTCAGGTCTGAACACGTGTTGCCCTGCATACAACTAATCGCTGTTTTCCCAAACCGCTCTCATGTATATTGTAATGTTTTTTCCATTTGTTTACCTACTACGGATGTTAGACTAATCGGGCGATAGTTTTCGACGTCAGAACGGTTTTCACCCTTGAGTATTGTAATAACCATGACCTTTTTCTAGTCATCAGGAGAACAGTAGTTAATATATATTTTCAACAGTCGCGTGATGTAACGCACAATGATTTCTCCCCCAAGCTTCAGTACCTCCCCTAGTACACTGCCGGGTCCTATCTATTTATTGCGTCCTATTGATACTATATTTTTCTGATAGTTTTCACATTAATTTTAAATGGCGAGTTGTTTAGACTGTTTGCTATCGGTATGCATGAACGCGGACGTTTATGAACATAGATGCGTAGTAACGATTGAGAGTATTTGCTTTTTCTGTTGGATCTGTCATTAGCTGGTTACCGCGGCCTTCATTTCTGGTATCAGCGTACTGTTTTCTTTCCGCTTTTTACCATATTAGTAAAATTGTGACCAAACTATTCTTGACTTGCAACAAGTTTGATAAGAACGTTTCCTGCGAGTATTTTTTCGCATCTAGCAATTGTTTCGAGAGTTGTTTGAAAACCGCTTCTGGATGTATTGCACGCTTCATGAACTTTTGCATTAAGTCGCTTTACGGTTTCGTTATAATACTCTGCATCGACATTGCCTTTCAACGTTTTGCGTGGTACAAACAGATCCATGCCTTCGAATAAAATGTTCTTAAATCCTCTCCAATTTCGTTTAAACGCCCCAGTATATCGTTTTCCCCCCATAGCCGAATGTGCCTTAGGAAGTCTGTGGGCTTCCGTAGCCGAAGATTGAGG